GCCGGAGCCTGACAAATACAATACCCTCCAATGGCTGCCCTTCAAAAACGGCCGCCACCCTATAACACTACTGCCTCAGCACTGCCTCTTATTGACCCAAAACAAAAAATAATTCATACAATAAAACAATTAAAAGAACAAATTCGATTAGAAAAAGAACACCGGGAACTAATACTTTGGAACCAAGGAGCAGGACTTTTAGCTGCTTGTTTCATTGCAATTGTACCAGGTTATATATCTCAGTCAGTAGCTGGATTCTCTGATAATGAAGGCATTGCTATTTTGGCACTTCAGTTCATATACTACTTGTGGGTAAAATCGGTAAAAACTGAGTCAGTTTTTTGGACAACGTGCTGCTGTTTATCATATTTCTATTTGGTCTCTGCTTGGGGTGGTTATGTATTTATCATCAACCTTACTCCACTGCATGTGTTTGGGTTGTTACTGATGCAGAGATATAGCAAGAGAGTCTACATAGCATATAGCACTTTCTACATTGTGGGTTTAATATTATCCATGCAGATATCTTCTGTATCACAATTACAGAAACTAAAAAACAATACAGACAAAGAAACAAAACTAGTTCAGGGATCACATACGACAGACTTTGAGACATTCCCTGTTATGGAAACTACAGATCCCCAAGGACAGGTTTGGCACCGTCACAGCAGGTTTATGGTAAAAGAGATTAAGGCGGCAGTCGCCCAATACGGAGCTACTGCTCCATATACCTTAGCTATAGGTGAAGCTATCACCGAGGGCTGGCTCACACCGTCTGATTGGCAAACATTAGCCCGAACTATCCTTAAATCTCAAAACTCTCAGCCTTTATGTTCCCCTAACTGCAGCTACAGCTGCTGGCTCCACTGGCTTGGGTTATTACACCAAGTCACTGAGGGTCTTATCTCTAGATTCCCCAGGTGAGGTAGTTCTTTAAAATAGATGAGGTTTAAATCTCCTCCTGGCAGAACAGGGAGGTCTCTGTCTTGCTTTACAGGAACGCTGCTACTTTTACGCCAAGTCCGGCATCATTCGTGACAAGATACATCAACTCCAAGAATCTCTCCAACAACGTAGAAAACGACTCGCCGATGGTCTGCCTGGAACGGTGTCTTCCCTTTCCTGCTCCCCTTCCTTGGCCCATTCATTGGATTTTTAATTGTTTGCTCACTGAGACCTGTTATATTTAATAGGCACATGTCATTCCTCAAACAGCAAATTGACTTGCTTATGGAAGACCAACACCCCTATACTGGTCTCGCCTGAGGCGCTGAATCGGTTAGCCAAAGACGGGTAAGAGAGTCTGATGAACCCAATAACTGTTCAGTCCTTCCACCTAAGACAGGAGGCCCATCATAGCTATGGGACTCTCCAATGACGGGTAAGGATGGATGTATGGTTCCATAAACGGCTCCAACCTAAGACAGGCACGATTCCCCCAGG